GAATCCACTTTGAATACTGAGGCCCTAGAAGATCCCTGCCACTAGCCCAGCCCCCAGGGAGCCTCATTCCACATCAGGACTCCCTTTCTCACCCCTCTGAGCCTCTAAGGCTGCTCACATAGCCTGAGCCAGTCTCTGCTCCCATTTTTCCTCCTGCTCAGACCCAGGACTGAAGACCCCCAGCCTAACCCTACAGTTTCCACAGAGCATGGTCTGCTGGTCCCGAGGGAGGCTCGGTGAAGGGTTCTGTGATCCAGGCCGGCTGATGATGAATCATGACACGGGGATCCTAGTGGGGGTGTCTATTTCCCTGTCTCTGTATCTCTCATGGAAAAAATAGACTACTTAAATACACACACACACACATACACACACACACACACACACACATACACGTATTTCTTTTTTTCATGCCTGGTTCAGCCTCAGTCACTGGACAGTGGCCCCATCTCTGCAGCTTCAGGCCCCTCGAGGCACACCCCTCTCTGGGTCCCTTTGACTATCTGCCCCAGGTGCCACACTGTCCCTGCTGGTTCTTTTCATCTTACACGCTTGACTGGGAAGAGTTCTTTCTCTAATTTTCACTCTTTTCTTTTCTATATCCCACTCTCTTATATTTTCTTCCAGTTTTTGCTATAGGGGTATGTGCTGACCAGACCAAGTGAGAAATCACCTCCCCCGGGGGATGGCCACAACACGATTCTGTCTCCTCCACTCTTCTCTTGGGATTCTGGGTACACACGTGTACACACACACACACACACACACACACACACACACACACCCCAGGATGTTTTTCAAGTTGGCAGGTCCGGGACTCAAACCGCTCAGTTGGCCATGCAGGATCCAGCTGCCTTACCCTCTGCACCACCTGCTGGCTCCGTTCGACCCTTCTGACTGTGTCTGTCTCCTGGTAGGACTCTTACTGATACAAAAAGTAGTACTTTTCATAGATACAAGATCCTTATTTTTACTTAAGTCAAAGAAATGAAGCTCTAATCATAGAATCTGGGGCTAAAGAGAATTCAGAGAAAGAAGATATTTTTGAAGAGGAAGTGCGTGGGTGTCTCCCGGTACCTTGAAATCCAACTACAGCCATGCCCGAGAGCTAGTTTCTCATTAATTCTACTCTCTTCAACTGCCATATGAGAATCCGCCCTGTTCCAGGCCCAGTGCTCGGGACTGTGGGAACCAGGGACGATGGATTGAGACCAGGCCCTGTGTCCCAGAACCTCCCAATCTGGGCTGCACAGACGGGGCAGGATGAATGCCCTGGAATGGAATTGAATGTGACAGGCAGCCAAGCAGGCAAAACCAGAGAGATAAGGACCTAATCGGAGTTCAGACAGAACAGTGGGAGAACAGCGGGGGAGGCTTTGCACTGGACCTGGGGCGCCTCATGGGGTGGGGGAGGAGGTCACACAGGACTGGGCCCGATGTGAAGCAGGCCCATCAGCATCTCAGCCCAGAAGCCAGAGTAGGCCCCTCTCTGGGCCTTCTCCAGGAGGTTGGCTCAGATATCCAGGCCATTTCACTTGCTCCTCTGCCCGGAACTTCCTGCACCTCGGCGTCCTGTAAGGCTCCCCTGACCACATTGTTGACCGACCCTATGCATGAGCACACACGCTCACTCAACCCTCCCAACTACCATCATTCATCCCATTTCTTAGCTACGCAAACTGAGGCGCAATCAACTCGTCACATCAAATCCCTTCTCCTCCACTTCTCCAGTCCCATCAGGATTTGGGGCATGTATGCATATGTGCCCAGCATGCATTTTGAGCCGCTGGAGTCCATCTGCCTGTCTATACTGGAACAGCCCTCCTGAAACCACTCATAGGCGGTGCAGAGCACTTGGAGTAGAGCATTTCCTCCAACTCGCAGCGCCCCCCTGAGGCGGGTCCCAGTATTATCTCCCCTGCACAGAGAGTAAAGCTTGATCCACCAAGAGCTGACTCCCTGAAGGGCCCAGAGCCAGGTAGTGTAGTCAGGTTCTGACTCAGGAGACCAATTCCAAGTTCATGGCCCCAACCACTACATTCCTTGAGGGGAGGACCCAAGGTATTATTTTTTTTAAATAGCACATTTTTTATTTTTAGGTTTTTCTCAGAGGGTGAATGTACTTTCCAGAGACAGACGGGGGCGGGGGTGTGTGTGTGAAAAATCACCCCCCAGGGATGATGGCCATGCTGCAGTCCTTTCTCCTCTTGGGATTTTGGGCACGCACACACACACACCCCTAGTGTGATTTTCCAAGCAGCTGGGTCTAGGACTCCAATCGCGGTCAGTCCTAGGGGAGTCCAGCATCTTAAACACCACGTCACCTGCTGGCCCCTAAAGAGTATTTTGTTTCTTAGATTTTTGCTATAAGGTGTGTGCACTTGCCAGAGAGAGACACAGACAGGCAGACAGACAGAAAGCAAGAAATCACCCCCTGGGGGGATGGCCATGCTGCAGTTCCTTCTCCTCCATTCTCCTCTCGGGATTTTGGGCACACACAAACCCAGCATGAGTTTCAAGTCACCGGGCCCTGGATTTGAACTGCGGATGACCATGAGGGAGTCCAAGACCTTAACCACTATGTCACCTGCTAGCCCCAATAATGCTTCTTTTAAAGAACATTTTCAGATTTATAGAAAAATTATAAAGATAATAGAGTTTTCCATATACCCTATGCCCAGGTTCAATTATTAACATTTTATATTAGTATGAAATATTTGTAATTAAGGCACCAGTACTGATTTATCATTATTAAGTGAAGTCCACAGTTTATTCAGATTGCTGTAGTTTACCTAATGCTTTCTTTATGTTCCAGGATATGTACTCTACTGAGTTGTCGTGTCTCCTTAGGATCCTCTTGACTATGACAATCAATCGGACTTTGTTTTTGATGGCCTTGACAATTTAAGAAAATGTGGTCAAGTAGAAATAACATAAAATTTACCATTGTAATAACTTTTAAAGTATTTTTATTCTTTAAGGTTTTTACCATAGGCGTTAGAGAGAGACAGAAAGACAGTGAGAGGGAAAGTGAGAAGTCCTCCCGCCCCGAGGGATGACCACGCCACAATCCCCTCTTCTCTCTTCTCCTCCTGGCATTTTGGGCATGTGTACACACAGGCCAGCATGATTTTCAAGAAGGCAGCTCTGGGACCCAAACCAGCCATGTGGCAGTCTAGCACCTTAACCACCACACCAGCTGGCCCTACGCCCTCACCATTTTTAAGCATACGGCAGTGTTAAGCTTATGCACGTTGTGGTGTTTCCGGTCTCCAGAATTTCATCTTGCAAGACTGAAACTGTACTCATTAAATACTCCCCATTCCCCTCGTTCAGCCCTCAGTAATAACCACGGTTCTGCCCATTCCCCTCGTTCAGCCCTCAGTAATAACCACGGTTCTACCCATTCCCCTCCTTCAGCCCTCAGTAATAACCACGGTTCTGCCCATTCCCCTCGTTCAGCCCTCAGTAATAACCACGGTTCTGCCCATTCCCCTCGTTCAGCCCTCAGTAATAACCACGGTTCTGCCCATTCCCCTCGTTCAGCCCTCAGTAATAACCACGGTTCTACCCATTCCCCTCCTTCAGCCCTCAGTAATAACCACGGTTCTGCCCATTCCCCTCGTTCAGCCCTCAGTAATAACCACGGTTCTGCCCATTCCCCTCGTTCAGCCCTCAGTAATAACCACGGTTCTGCCCATTCCCCTCGTTCAGCCCTCAGTAATACCCACGGTCCTGCCCATTCCCCTCCTTCAGCCCTCAGTAATAACCACGGTTCTGCCCATTCCCCTCCTTCAGCCCTCAGTAATAACTACGGTTCTACTTTCTGTTTCTATGACTTCGACGACTTCCGATACCACGTGTAAGTGCCAGCATATAGGATTTGTGACTGGCGTATTTTACTTAGTATCCTGTCGCTAAGGCTCATCCACGTTGTAGTATGCATCAGAATCTCTTTTTCTTTTAATTTGCTGGAGAGCAGGTGCACTTGTGAGAGAGGGAGAGAGAAAGATACCCCCAAAGGGGATGGTCACGCCGTAATCCCTTCTCCTCTGTTCTCTCTCTTTTTTTTTTTTTTGAGAGGTTTTTCATATCGGAGCGTATGCTCACCAGAAAGACAGAGAGACAAAGAGACAGAAAGTGAGAAATCACTCCCTGGGGGGATGGCCACACCACAATCCCTTCTCCTCTATTCTCCTCTCGAGATCTTGGGCACTCACACACACGCGCCTGGCGTGAGTTTAACCTACCAGGCCCAGGACTTGAACTGTGGTCAACTACATGGGAGTCCAGTGACATAGCCATTCTGCCAACTGCTGGTCCCCATCCTCTGTTCTCTTTATGGAAGTGCACATGAACTGTGTAAGGGGGGCTAGCCCTCTGTGAACATTCTTACACAAGTCTGTCTTTTTTTGCTACAGGGTATGTGCACTTATCAGAGACAGAGAGAGAGGGAAAGTGAGGACCAGCAGGGGGCATGGTGGTTAAGGTGCTGGACTCCCACGTGGTTGACCGTGGCTCACATCCTGGAACTGGCGGCTTGAAACTGCCAGGAGTGAGCATGTGTGTGCATGCCCAAGATCCCAGGAAGAGAAGGGATTGCGGTGTGGCCATCCTCCTGTGGGAGGCGATTTGTCACTTTTTGTCTCTGTCTCTCTAGCAAGCACATGTGCCGTATAGCAAAAATCTTTTAAAAAGAGAGAGAGAAAAAGAGAGAGAGAGAGAAAGAGAAAGTAAGAAAGCAGCCCCTAGCCAGGATGGCCATGCCACAATCCCTTCTCCATTCTCCACTCAGGAGTTCGGCCCACGCACACATGAGACCAGCATGTTTCTCAAGTCACTGGGCCCAGGACTAGAATCATGCAGTCAGCCAGTGGGATCTGGTCACCCTAACCTTCGTGCCGTCTGCTGGCCCACATGTACAAATCTTTCTGTGAGCAGGTGTTTTTATTTCTCTTGGACAATGTTTTTGTATTACACATTTCTGATCTACCTACCAGGGCTCAGCACCTCATCGTATTGCAAACACTAGGTGATTAAATGAACCAAGTTGCGGAGTCGAGATCTGGGAGGAGGCAACAATCACTTCGTGTAATAAAGCAGCACCTTCCGAAGGCGAGCATAGACCTGAGCGCCAACACCAGCAGCTGAGGCCGAGTGAGGAGGACATCCGAGGCGGACACTTACCAACTCAGTTACAGAGTTCTGGAAAAGGACAGGCTTTGAGGAGCCAAAACATGGGAACAACCGGAGGCTTCCGGAGAATTCTCTCCCACATACTGGCTGGACACGGAGTCCTAGAGGGTGTCCCTGCTGGTGTCACAATCCAGCCCTGCTGGCAGGAAGTGGGGCGGTGGGTGGCAAATCAGGCTCGCAGTGTGTTGGTGAGATTGTTTTCAGAATGCTTGTATCTTGTCAGGGAGCACTGGTACCCTCTGTGTGTCCTCTCTGAATCTAGTCCTGAGTCACCCGCCCACTGGGAGAGTCTGTCCTGGCCAGGGATACTCCAGAATGAGAGACGACGCAGCAATACTTCTTCCTTGACTCCGGAAGATATCTGTGCATAGTCAGAAATCTGGGTTTCTAACTAGCCATGTGTGCTTTTGTCTCTAACGTTCCTTCCAGCTTGGAAATATTTTGACACAATTGTACTTTCAATTAAAAAGATACGTGCTTACATAAAAAGTTAGAAAATATAAATAAGGGGCCCAGCAGGTGGCGTGGTGAAGTGCACTGAACTCCCACATGGCCAACCATGGTTCGAGTCCTGGACCTGGCGGCTTGCTTTCTCACTTTCTCCCTCTCTGGTCAAATATATTTTTATATTTATATATATGTATATATATATTTATATGTATATACACACACACATATGTGTATATATATGAATAAAAAACGTTAAATAAAAAATAATTCTTAAAAAAAAATAGGTATCAGGACCAGCAGCTAGTGTAATGGCTATGTTGCTGGACTCCCATGTAGTCAACTGTGGTTCAAGTCCCGGACCCGGTAGCTTAAACTCACACCGGGTACATGTGTGTGCATGCCCAACATCCCGAGAGGAGAATGGAGGAGAAGGGACTGCGGTGTGGCCATCTGCCCTGGGGGTGATTTCTCGCTGTCTCTCTCTGTCTTTCTGGTGAGCACATATGCCCTATAGCAAAAACCTCCCCCCAAAAATCTCTGTTTTCCTCCCAGGATTTTGGGCATGCACATACAGGTGCCTGACGTGTTTCAATCTATAGGGACCGGGACTAGAACAGCGACCAACTACGTGGGAGTCCAGTAACGTAGCCATTATGCTAACTGCTAGTCCCACAAATTTTTTTAAAAATTAAAAAAAATCACTCCTAATTTCACCACCCAGTGCTATTTCTTATTAACATTCACTCATTTCTTTCTTTCTTTTTTTTTTTTTAAAGACAGATTTTTCTGTAAGGCACATGCGCTTTCTAGAGAGACAGAGACAGAAAGTGAGAAATCACCCCCCAGTGGAGGATGGCTTTGCTGTAATCCCTTCTCCATTCTCCAATTAGGATTTTGGACATGAATGCACAGTCGTGATACATATTTATTTACTTGTAATTTTTTTGGTAAAAGTTTTTGCATTAGGGTGTGTGTGCTCACTGGAGAGAGACAGAGACAGTGAGAGAGAAAGTGAAAAACCATCCCTTGGTGGGAGGGGATGGCCACGCAACAATCCCTTCTCCCAGGATCTTGGGCACAACATGCACATGTGCCCAGCATGAGTTTCAAGCCATTGGGTCTAGGATTCGAACTGTGGCCGCCCATGTTGGAGTCCAGTGACATAACCACTACACTTAATCTGCTGGTCTCTATTTGATGTGATTTTCAAGCCACAGAGTCCAGGACTCTAACTGTGGTTGGCCATGTGGGCCTCCAAAAACCTCAACCACCATGCCACCTGCAGGCCCAGGCTGCTCATATTTTAATGAAACCATTCTGCTGTGTAACCTGCCTCTCACTTCACGGACGGCGGCGAACATTGTCCCATGCTGGCAAGCACGCTCCTCCATGGTTCTACTTTTTCATGTTAACATTCTCAGGGTTAGATCTTGAATGATTCCTAGTCATTTCTCTAGGATAATTCCTAGAAGTAGAATTTCTAGGTTAATTATTCATCACATGATGAGGCTTCGCCAAAATGGCCTTCATCCCTGTCTGTCTGCCTTTGTGTTTTGTTTTTGTCTTCAGGTGTGTGCACTTGCTGGAGAGAGACAGAGGGAGGGAAAAAAGTGAGAAATGGCCTTCCGGGGAGATGGCCACATAGCCATCTTTTCTCCTCTCAAGATTTTGAGCATGCACACATACGTGCCCAGTGTGATTTTTTTTTTGAGAGGTTTTTGCTATAGGGTGTGCGTATGCGCCAGAACGAAAGAGAGAGACAGACAGAAAGCGA